ACGATCCGCAAACAAGTCTTCAGTTGTATCGCTTCCACAGCGGCATTCCATGAAATCGGATCAATATCTACGAATTCCCAGAATTTTTCCTCTTCATCACCGACCATCGTCAAACACGGAATACAACAACTCACAATTTTCAGAGGAAAACTCGTAGAACAAGATCCCATGCGGCCAATATTTGTAGCGATCGGTTTCTTTGATCGTCATCAAAGGAAACTCGTCGGACTGCGCATAAACGAGAAATATATTTAGAAAAAGAACATTTTTGCGTCGAACCCTTTCTTTCAAGTGTTTATTATCGAAACTCACTGGGGATTCAGGAATGTTCATTCCACCTCGCATATCACCGCCGAAGAAACCGGGATTTTGATAGAGCTGGGAAAGTTTTTCTGCGTCCTGATGTCGCAAATCATATTCCGAAGGCATTGCGATCGAAATGTGCATGATTTCAAGGATTATCAGAATATTTACCAATAAGCGTTCACAGTTCCTCATAGCCATATTTTCGAGTATTTGTCTTCTTTTGCTTTTTCACGCGAATTTTCGTGGCCCGGCGCAACTGTCGAATAAATTTGGGGTCATTTTAAAACTCGGTTCAGCACTTAATTCATCCAATGGCCTGAATAACACAACACCGACATGCGACTGATGATTAAAAATATAACTAACGTAATTCTGACGTAATTGCTTTCCTAAGTTCACGCACTTGCTTCCAAAAACCAACTTTTCAGAGAACGATCCATCGAAAATGTATCCTCACAAAAAACGGTGCCACAGAAAACTAAACGTGAAAATGAATATCCTCGGCCACTGAAAGACTTCGGACTGCAGATGCAAGGTAATTAGCTATGCACTAGATGGTCCTAAGGGTAAAAAATGAGGGGACGAAATATGATTTAACATTCGGATGTGCGTTTTCAAACGTCTGATAAAAATTTAGAATTTAACCGAAGAAGGTCGAATGAACGACTGAAAACTCAAGATACCAAATTGTAAACT